CAAAAATTATGAAATATGGCTTTATAATTATGAACATATAATTCAGTAATTATAAACATAGAGTTCTGTAATTATTAATATAGAGTTCAATAATGATGAATATAAAGTTCAAAAATTATGAATATATAGCTTTATAATTATGAACATATAATTCAGTAATTATGAACATAGAACCGTGTCTACTTTGCAAAATAGACACGATTTCACGACATAACGATTGATACTTCGGTGAAGGGGGCTAAAAAAATAATAATATACTATTAATATTTTTTTGAGGAAGGGGGGCCAAGGGCCCAAGACGCCTAGTTAATTCTAAATCCTCGACAGCTCCACCGGTATTAGTATTATTACTTTTTTTTAGGGGTAGGGGTAGGGGTAGGGGGGGGGGAGCCAAGGCCCCCTGCACTAACAATGTGCCTCCGCCCCTGGTTATGCCATGAACCCGTGTCCACCTTGCAAGGTGGACGCAGGTCCAATATGATGCCGTTTTACAATTTGGGAGTAATGGTGCTATTAGTGGCATCATTTTCCTTCCACCAATCAGTTTTTTTTTTTTTTTTTTTTTTTTTTTTTTTTTTTTTTTTTGTCAAAAGAATTCAGCGACATAAAAAATTGTGAATATACTATTACGTAACTGTGAATATAGAGTCCTGCAGTTGTGAATATAGAGTTCAAAAATTATGAACATAAAGTTCTGTAATTGTGAACTCTATGTTTTTAGAGTTCATTAATTATGAACATAGACTTCTATAATTGTGAACATAGAGTTTGGGAAGGAAACTGCCGAATCTGAAGACAAACGCCGTTAACGGCGAAAGAAAGATTTTTTATTTTATTTTATTGACACGGCGTCGTTTTCCACCAAAACGACGTCGTTTTGGAACTGTGTCCACTTTGTCCACCTGCAAGGTGGACACGGTTCTACAACATAATTTGCCCATCACGACGTTGCTCGCAAATAATATCATGGATCATGATCTACCTTGTAATCCTTGTATTATGAATTATGGTCCAAAATAATCTTTAGATTATGTCTTTATAGTTGACATATTCTTTACGTCCAATTAACAGTTTATGTACTTGTAAATAAATTGAAGTCACATAACATGTTAATTATAGACACATAAAATGGTAACTATAGACACATAAACAGTTAATTACAGTTACATATACAGGATATGCTAACTACATAAACATAATATGTTAACAATATATTATGTGTCTACAGTTAACATATTTTCTATCTACAATTAACAATTTATGTGTTTGTAGTTTCCATTTTATGTGTCTATAGTTAATATGTTATGTGCCTTTAATTTATTTACAAGCACATAAATGGTTAACTGCATGTATAAAATATATCATTTGCAAACATATAATTTTTTGACCAAGGTCCACAATGCAAAATAGACTCTGGTCCATGGTATAACAATTGGACGCTGCCCTAGGACAATAATCACATATACAGAATTTATACAAACTTAAGTAGTGATTGTGAATTTCCATCATCAAATTGACCAAGTTAATCAAGTTGTTAACTTGGTAACCAATTTCCTACCACGTAAATAATAAAAGGGAATTTAATAAATTCTCAACAATCTTTGATGGGTGCAATACAAGAACATAATAACATATAAACAAATTTAGCAATAACTTAAACAATTACAACTTAAATACCTATAAATTTAGTAATTTACCAATAAATTCTTATGAAAACAAATTTAATATTTCTTGTACTAATGGTTGGAAAATTTTGATTCTTTAAAAAAAAAAAAAACAAAAAAAAAAAAACAAAAAAAAAAAACAAATTTCAATCTGCTTTGATGGCCAAAATTTTTAACCACATTCGTAGTTCAGAATTTCAATCACTTTTCTCTAGGTTGTAATAAAACTTTTTGGTGGACAATTAGAAATTTGAAAATTTTGGTGGACAAATTTTTTAAAATTTGTACTGCTCGTATTTATAGTGCAAAAGAAAATAAAGAAATTAGAGACGAGAAGAAAAGGAATAAGATGAAGGAAAAAAGTTAATGCTTTTAAATACTAAATGGCTATTGTTGTTTGAAACTCTTTTTTTGGTAACCGTGATTATAACAATAATTTTTAAAATTTTGATCATTGGCCATCATCATCAATTTAGCCATCTAAAATTTTTCATGACCTTACTACGTTGTCGATATTATCAAGAAATGAATATACTCCGTAATTTTATTCTCCCAAAAGTTTGAATCCCCGACCTCAAAAGCCCCTCACACCTCGGACCAACAGAGCATTTGGAAAGATGTAAATCACGGTGATTCAATGGCTCAGCAGACATTGCCAAATGTCGCTGCATACAAGGGATCTACTCACCTTGAGCATAATCCCAACACTGCCGCCACCAAGGTTCAGACATTGGTCTCTTCTCCCTAATATTATCAACTGAACCATTGAGCTAAGCCCGTGTAAGTAAAAGTTGTCGACTGCAAACCCTAGTTTTTCTATCACTTTCTATGATTCTTTTTTTTTTTTTTTAAAGAACTTTTCAAATAAAGCAATCATTATTATATTGATCATGGTCCACATAACTGTATGAACTATGAATACAATGTACATTTTTAATATACTAAAGTTATATTACTTATCTACTGAAGGTACATTATTTAAAAGTACATTATTTGAATATTGTATATTAATTTACTACCAAATAATGTGCATTTAGTACATTAATAATGTACTTTTAATATATTTAAAATATACATATTATTCAGGATCTACACAACTGTGTAAATCATAATATACAGACAAATTTGCGGTGATAAAGATAGTGGGCTTCTTCTTGTAAATTATATTATTCCGTATATGAACTACATACTAAAGTACACAACCCCATACACATACCATTAATTTACGGATCAAACCTAAAATTAATTATAATGCATACGAAGTAGTGTTTTTTTTTATTAATTTTGCAATAAGATTGTTCTATTCCGGCCAGAAAGTCCCTGTCTTCACATGAATTAAACTATAATATAATATGTATGTGTTCGGCCATTTATCTACGACATATATACTTTATTCCCATGAATTGTACTTTGAGTATGTGTTAAACTTAGGGAATCAATTCTTTATATGTTACAGATGAAAGAATTAATCAAACTGAAAGCATGCACTAAACTGCATGCGCCAGCACAACTTTGTCTCTCTATATATATAAAAGGTTTTCAGATCTCATCAGAAGCATGTGAAGCAGGATTAGATCATGTGCCTCCCACATGCTCTGTTGGGTCGGAGTATGAGGGATCCTTAGGGTTGAGGATTCAATCTTTTGGGACAAGGATTAGATTATGTGCTATCTTCCCCATAAACCGTTTTGACATGATAAAATGGAGTGGTTTTAGACTACTTTTCGAATACTTTTTTTGGTGGTTGATTTTTTTTTTTCCTGATCATAATTTTGGGTGGTCGGAATATCACGTTTTTTCAACAATTTCATTTCTATTATACTAATAAAATCCCAAGAGAGTTAGATTTATAATGGGTAGAAAAATGACGGTCAAATTTTTTAATCAAATGAATATCTCAGATTGATCATATTTTAATTTTTCCATGAGATTTCATAATTTATCTTTAATGAATATGATTATCAGTTAACTTTTCCGTTAAATATTATCTTTTCCATTAATTTTTGTTAGCTCACCGTTAACTTACTCATTGATTTCAATAAGAAAGTTCTTAGGTTCGAACCCCATCCCAATCAAAGTTGGCATAATTAGTACTCTATTTTACTCTTATTAAATTACTAATTTTTTACGCGCATTGCGCGATTGGATAATGCCCAATGTTTTTTTTTTTTAAATAAATAGTTTAAAGTATATCAAGGCAAGATTATATTGGATTGTTCATGCATAGATAATTGAATGTTAAATTTGCTTATTTAAATAGGCAATTCTAAGTTTACAAATGCAAGCTAATATAGTCAAGATTGATTATAATTGTCAATAAAATAATTGTATAGGTATACTTGAAACAAAATACGGGACATAAGGGAGAGCAAATAAAAATTAGAGCATAAAATATTAAATATATACTAATATTGAAGAGCTAACTGCTAATTGCCAAACAAGGACATTGCGAGATATTTTCTCACTTCAATTTGTTGTGTGATTTGAATACTCTTTTTGTCAATAAATCCCCCAAGTAGTTCATATGATTGGCTTACTTTTTTTTAAAACAATTATTATTATTATTATTATTATTATTATTATTATTATTATTATTATTATTATTATTATTATTATTATTATTATTATTAAATATATGTATACCTTTAGGTCATTTTACATGTTAATCTAAACAGCTAATTTTTTCAAATATCTTTTTACCAACCGTTGATATAATTCGCTGGTCAAATTCGCTAATATAATCCGCTAACGCTAACCGCTAACTGCTGATTGTCAAACAAGGACATTGCGAGGTAGTTCTCATTTCAATTTGTTGTGTGATTTGAATATTCTCTTTGTCAACAAATCACTCAAGTAGTTAATATGATTGACTTTATTAATTATATATTTTTTTAATTTTTTCATGGTATTAATAAAATACTTGGTAAATAAATATATAGGATTATTTTGTATTATAACTTTGATATTTAATTAAAAAATAGTGCAAAAAAAAGATAATAGACAATGTAGTGAATATAATCAATTGATGAATTTGAATGTATAGAATTTTTTACATTGGAGAAATATAAAGACAATATAACTAATAAAATTATTTCTCTTAATTAATTTATTGATAATGAATAATTTTTTTTTAATAAAGACATTGTAGGGACAATGTAGCGAATATAATCAATTGATGAATTTGAATGTAAAGAATTTTTATATTGGAGAAAAATAAATATAATATAACTAATGGAATTATTCTCTTATTTAATTTATTTATAATAATTTTTTTTTTAAATAAAGACATAATTCTATTCTTTTTTTTTTTTTGAAAGGTGGCCAATAAGGCATATATTAAAAGTACTCAGAAATAGAGTCTGGGGGGACATCGTCCGAATACATAATCGTAGAATAATTAAATGCAGAAGCCGCTAAACTATGAGCTAAATAGTTCTCCGATCTAGGAATAAAATTAACTGAGCAGTAATCAAAAGCGGTAATGCGTGCTTTGCAAGCACTAATAGCGTAGCCAACATAAGTCCGAATCGTGACAGCTTGATTCGTCAAATATTGTTGTAGGGTCAAACAATCTGTGAGCAAGCGTACAGAGCGTTCCCCACGATTCCATAACCAGGACAATGCTTCCTTACATGCTATCGCCTCAGCCATAAGCGGGGAGAGACAATCTGATAAGGGTGCACTGAATGCCGATACATATTCCCCTTCCTCGTTCAATAAAATCGCGCCAACCGTAGCTTTTCCTGTAGTCGGCATAAACCCGGCATCGACATAACATCTCCGTATCGGCTCGGTTGCCTCCAGCCGTACTCCTTCCTCGGCAGCCACAAGGCCACAGCGGTCCGTTGCTGCTGCTGCTGTGCCGCGGCAGTGGCGGTAATGGGACCCTGTGCGGCTGCTTGGTGGTTTGCTTAGCGGTGGGTCGGGTGGATACGTTGCCATGCAAGTGTGGTGGCTTCGGCCAAGGCTATCACTTTCCGTGGTCGCGGTAGACATGCATCCCATACCGCTCCGTTTCTGGTCCTCCAAATATAATATAAAATTGCAGCTGCGTGGACAATTTGGTTAGTGTCTAAAATATTTAATAGATCACTAAACCAAGTATGAAAAATATTTGTTGTTAGCATGGGGATTGGAAGATGAGATTGTGCCCAAATGGAACTTGCATAACCACATGTTACTAAAGCATGCATTGTGTCTTCATCCATTATCCCACACATAGCACATGTTGGTTGTATTTCCACTCTCTTTATAATCAAATTTGTTGTAGTAGGGAGAATACCACTCAAAGCTTTCCATAAGAATGTTTTCCATTTGGGGGGGATTTTTAGCTTCCATAGGCGTAGCCAATTATGCGTGCCAGTATTATCATTGAGGTTACCCACAACTGTTTTGTAGCCACTCTTAACAGTATAGTTCCCTCCCTGATCATCATGCCAATACCACATATCTTCATAATCCGGCTATACTGGGATTTTTCTTATCCTATCCACATCCGCAGGATTAAAAATATCTGTCAATATATCCGGATCCCAGGTCTGTGTCTCATGATCAATTAATCCCTCCACTGCTGCATTATTTAAATATGGGGGTTTATTTGTATGAATCATTGGGTCTTGTTCATCATGTAACCATGGATGATCCCAGATAAGGGTTGTTTTTCCATTTCCAATTCTGCGTCTGATTCCACCACAAACCATGCCCTGAGCTGCCATTATACTGCGCCAACAGAAACTGGGATTATTCCCTATTTTGGCATCATAAAAGGTCCCTGTTGGGTAATATCTGGCTCTGTAAACTCGTGAGACCAAAGAGTCAGGTTTTGTTAGTAAACGCCATGCTTGTTTACCCAGCATTGCTATATTAAAAGCATGCAGTTCTTTGAAACCCAGTCCACCATACTTCTTTGGTATACACAATTTATCCCAAGCCTTCCAATGGATTCCACGTTCATTCCCAGATCCCCACCAGTACCGGTTCATGGTTCGCTCAATAGCTGTACAAATCCCCATAGGTAATAAGAAAACACTCATTGAGAAAGTAGGCATTGCCTGGGCCACACTTTTCAACAAGACTTCCTTACCAGCCTGTGATAACAACTTCTTATTCCAAGAAAGGATCCTCTGTCTTATCTTATCCTCGATATATGAAAACGCTGCCTTCTTATTCCTTCCTACAAATGAGGGGAGCCCCAAATATTTCCCAAAGTTTGGTGCCTGGGCAACCCCAAGAATCTGTGCCACTTCATCCCTATCCTCGTACTGTGTATTCTTACTGTAGCATATGCTGGACTTATGATAATTCACCACCTGGCCAGATAAATTTTCATATCGTGTCAAACATTGCTTTACTGCATTTGCCTCCTGCACATTTGCTTTAAAGAACAATAAGCTGTCATCAGCAAAAAATAGGTGTGAAATAGAGGGTGCACCCCTTGCAACTCTGCATCCGTGAATTGCTCCCCGTACCTGTGCCTGTTGTAGCAGCAAAGAAAGTCCCTCCGCACAGATTATAAATAGATATGGGGACAGCGGGTCTCCTTGCCTGAGTCCGCGAGAGGGGACGATAGGCAAACCTCGGGTTCCATTCAACTTGACATTATACGACACAGTAGTCACGCATAACATGATAAGATCCACCCATACACTATTAAAACCCAAGGCTGTTAACATATTTCGCAGAAAGGGCCATTCCATACGGTCATAGGCTTTCGCCATATCCAACTTTAAAGCACCCCATCCCACCTTCCCACATTGTTTTCTATTCAAAAAATGGCCAACTTCTGCAGCAATTAAGATGTTATCTGTAATCAATCTGTCCGATATGAATGCACTCTGTGTATCAGAAATAATCTCATCCATGAGTGGTTTCATCCTGGCTGCAATCATCTTGGCCATGATCCTGTGTATCACATTACTCAATGCTATGGGTCTGAGATCCGAGACCCGTTCTGGATTTTTCTTCTTCGGTATTAGGACCACATCAGTATCATTCAAGTTGGCTGGAAAGGTCCGTGTATTCAAACAGTTCACAACAAAGTCCGACACATCTCCTCCCACCACATCCCAGAACTGCTGGTAAAAACCCGGATTCATTCCATCCGGACCAGGTGCCTTATCTGGGAACATAGCAAACAAGGCTGTTTTTACCTCTTCCTTTTCAAAGGGGTGCAGCAGGGCTTCGTTCTGTGCAGGTGACACTCGAGGCAAGACATTGGCATAAAAATTTTCATCCATCTGAGACTGGTTTGACTCAAAAATATTCCGATAATAATAAAAAATAGTCGTTCTCATGGCATCTCCCTCCACCCAATCCCCATCATCATTCATAATTTTAGAGAGTGTGTTTTTCTTTTTACGGTGAGAGGCATACCTGTGATAGAATTTAGTATTCGCGTCTGCCCCCTTCAGCCAGTGCTGTTTCGCCCTCTGTTTCCAAAAAGCATCCTCCTGAGCCTCTAATCGAGCCAGACGTTCTTCTAACCGCTGATACTCGGCTAAGGAAATTTGATCAGTGCATCCCTGTAGCCGCAACTGCTCCTTGCGCAGGCCCCTCATCTGCTCATCAAACTTGTGAAACTTATCACCTCCCCATCGTGATAATTTATTGCCACACAACTCGATACAGGCTTGCAAACCCCTATCTCTTCCTTCAGTCCACGTCGTCTCAGCCACTCCCCTACAGCCCTCATCATGCAGCCAAGCCATCTCAAACCGGAACCCCCTCCTCCCACCACCTGTCCTTTCCCGAAGATTCAGAATCCCAAGGAAAAGTGCAGAATGATCTGAGTGTCGGGTTAGAATGTTCGAAACAGTTGCCTCCCTCACCACATCTCGCCATTCCTGTGTAACCAGCACCTTGTCCAACCTCTCCTCAATCCAGTCTACAGTCCCCTCCCCTCTTTCCCAGGTAAACGGGTATCCCTGCATAGGTAATTGTGCTAGTCCACACTCATCAATAGTTTCCCCGAAGCCCCGTAATAGTGTCTCTGGATGGGGATTCCTCCCTCGCTTCTCATACTGATATAAGAGATCATTAAAATCTCCTAGAATAACCCATGGCAACTCAGAACGATGCGATAAGGACTTAATGAAATCCCAAGAGTCATTCCGTCTCTCCCTCTGCGCATAACCGTAATACCCTGTCATCCTCCACTTTTCCAATCCCGGCATTGTTACCTCAATATCCACATGATTTTTCGAGTAACTCAACAGGCTTGCCGTACCATTCCTTCTCCATAATAATGCCAAACCTCCTTTCGTTCCTACACTATCAACTTTAAACACACCATCAAAACCAAGTTTCACCCGGAGCCGCTCTGCATGATCCTGGCCAACCATGGTTTCCATAAGAAATACAAAGTCGGGTTTCTTACTGGACACCATGTCCACAATCTCCCGAACTGTCCGTGGATTACACATAATTCTATTCTAAATTAAAGAAATGCATATGTATTATTTTTTGTTGTAGCTACTAAATCATTATTTAATTTAATAAGAGTAAAATAGAGTACTAATTATGCCAATTTTAATTGGGATGGGGTTCGAACCTAAGACCTTTCTGATTAGAAAATTTAAAGGAAAAAAAATAAAATCTGATCAATCTGAGCCATTCATTTGATTAAAAAACTTGACCACCATTTTTTCTACCCATTATAGGCCTAACTCTCTTGGGCTCTTATTAGTATACTAGTTTTTTACGCACATTGCGCGATTGGGATAATGCCCAATGTTTTTTTTTTTTTAAATAAGTACTTTAAAGTATATCAAGGCAAGATTATATTGGAATTGCTCGTGCATAGATAATTGAATGTTAAATTTATGTATTTAAGTAGACAATTTAAAGTTTACAAATGCAAGATACTATAGTCAAGATTGATTATAATTGTCAATAAAAAAATTGTATAGGTATGGTTGAAACCAAATACGGGGCATAAGGGAAAGTAAATTAAAATTAGGGCATAAAATATTAAATATATACTAATATTGAAAAGTTAATTGTTGATTGCCAAACAAGGACATTGCGAGGTAGTTTCCTATTTCAATTTGTTGTGTGATTTGAATACTCTTTTTGTCAATAAATCCCTCAAGTAGTTAATATGATTGACTTAATTATATTTTTTATTTATTATTTAAAACTATTATTATTATTATTATTATTATTATTATTATTATTATTATTATTATTATTATTATTATTATTATTATTATTATTATTATTATTATTATTATTATTATTATTATACCCTTAAGACATTTTACATGTTAATCTAAACAACATCTAATTTTTTCAAATATCTTTTTACCAATCGTTGATATAATTCGCTGGTCAAATTCGCTAATATAATCCGCTAACGCTAACTGCTAATTGTCAAACAAGGACATTGCGAGGTAATTCTCACTTAAATTTGTTGTGTAATTTGAATACTCTCTTTGTCAACAAATCCCTCAGATAGTTAATATGATTGACTTTATTAATTATATTTTTAAAATTTTTTTAATGGTATTAATAAAATACTTGGTAAATAAATATATAGAATTATTTTGTATTATAACTTTGATATTTAATTAAAAAATAGTGCACAAAAAAAAAAAGATAATAGACAATGTAGTGAATATAATCAATTGATGAATTTGAATGTAAAGAATTTTTACATTGGAGAAATATAAAGACAATATAACTAATAAAATTATTTCTCTTAATTAATTTATTGATAATGAATAATTTTTTTAAATAAAGACATTGTAGGACTATGTAGCGAATATAATCAATGGATGAATTTGAATGTAAAGAATTTTTATATTGGAGAAAAATAAATACAATATAACTAATGAAATTATTTCTCTTATTTAATTTATTGATAATGAATAATTTTTTTTTTTTTTTGCATAAAGACATTGTAGACACATAAGAGCAAAATAGAGAACTAATTATACCAACTTTGACTGGGATGAGGTTCGAACCTAAGACCTTTCTTATTAAAATCAATGAGTAAGTTAACGGTGAACTAACAGAATGTAACAGAAAAGATAACATTTAACGGAAAAGTTAACGGATAATCATATTCATTAAGGATAAATTAGTAAATCTTAAGGAAAAATTAAAATCTGATCAATCTGAGCCATTCATTTAATTAAAAAATTTGACCGCCATTTTTTCTACCCATTATAGGCCTAACTCTCTTGGGCTCTTATTAGTGTAGTAGATAGTAGATAGTAGATATATATATATATATATATATATATATATATATATATATATATATATATATATATATATATATATATATATATATAGTAGATATAGTAGATATTGATAATGAATATTTTTTTATTTTTTTTAGTAAAGACATTGTAGGGACAATGTAGCGAACATAATCAAATGATGAATTTGAATGTAAAGAATTTTTATATTGGAGAAAAATAAACACAATATAACTAATGAAATTATTTCTCTTATTTTAATGAATAATTTTTTTTTTTTGAATAACGACATTGTAGACACATAATTCTAAATTAAAGAAATGCATATGTAATTTTTTTGTTGTAGCTACTAAATTATTATTTAATTTAATAAGACTAAATAGAGTACTAATTATGCCAACTTTGATTAGGATGAGGTTCGAACCTAAGACCTTTCTTATTGAAATCAATGAGAAAGTTAACGGTGAACTAACAGAAAGTAACGGAAAAGATAATATTTAACGGAAAAGTTAACGGATAATCATATTCATTAAGGATAAATTAGGAAATCTTAAGGAAAAATTAAAATCTGATCAATCTGAGCCATTCATTTGATTAAAAAATTTGACCGTCATTTTTTCTACCCATTATAGGCCTAACTCTCTTGGGCTATTATTAGTATAGTAGATAGAAAATAATAATTTAATAGCTACAACTAAAAATAATACATATACATTTCTTTAATTTAGAATTATGTGTCTACAATTCCTTTATTCAAAAAAAAATTATTCATTATCAATAAATTAAATAAGAGAAATAAATTTCATCAGTTATATTGTCTTTATTTTTCTCCAATATAAAAATTCTTTATATTCAAAGTTCAAATTCATTAATTGATTATATTCGCTACATTCTCCCTACAATGTCTTTATTAAAAAAAATATTCATTATCAATAAATTAATTAAGAGAATTAATTTCGTTAGTTATATTGTCTTTATTTTTCTCCAATGTAAAAATTCTTTACATTCAAATTCATCAATTGATTATATTCACTACATTGTCTATTATCTTTTTTGTGCACTATTTTTTAATTAAATATCAAAGTTAAAATATAAAATAATGCTATATATTTATTTACTAAGTATTTATGTGTGCTTCATTAGGTTGAGAAAGTTTGATTGAACAGATACTACATTGTTGACTCTGTGTGTTTCATTAGGTTGAGAAAGTTTGATTGAACAAATACAACAATGTAATAGAGTCAGTAGCATTTAAAAAAATTTGATTTAATAATAATTTTTTTAAAAAAATATAAGTGTGTTTTGGGGAAATCATTCTAAAAAACGCTAAGTGACAATATTGTAAATTGCAATGTTTGTATTTTCAGTGATTTGAAACAAATAGTTGCTTCAAACTGTTGAATAACCAACACATGCACTTTCTTTAGCATTTTGATCTTTGGGTTACATCATATTTACCAATCGTCCAATATCTTTGGGTTACATTATAATTAAAAAATTTAAATTTTTACTACATCTAAATTCCTTAAATTAAGAATTTCTTTATCCATAATAATTTATTCAACAATAATGGTTGAACTAAATGAACACTGAGCAAAACACCTAAATGATTGGTACGTTGATTCATTCATTGATCTTGTATATATGTCCATTCACTATATATATATATATATATATATATATATATATATATATATATATATATATATATATATATTAGAACCCTTTGCAACAAAAATACTTGATTACTATTTAAAAAAAGTTCAGTAACAATTATAATGAATCTCCTATATTACATTGTATTCATATACTATGAATTACATATTCAAATAAACAAATTAGACATTAAATTACTTATGTTGAACTTCTCATATATAATCTTGCATTGATATACTTTCAAATATTTATTTAATTATAAACATTGGGTAGAAAAAATTATTGTTAAATTATTAAATCAAATGAATAGTTCAGATTTTAATTTTAACTCTAACCACAAATCCTACTGCCGGAATCTCCTCAAACAATATTAGTATATTTTAATATTTTATGCTTTAATTTTTATTTGCACTCCCTTATGTCCCGTATTTGGTTTCAACCATACCTATACTATTATTTTATTGACAATTATAATAAATCTTGACTATATTATCTTGCATTTGTAAACTTAGAATTACCAATTTAAATACCCAAATTCAACATTCAATTATCATGAACAATTCTAATATAATCTTGTCTTGATATACTTTAAAATACTTATTTAAGAAAAATATTGAGCATTATCTCAATCACGCAATGCGCGTAAGAAACTAGTTGTTATTATAAGGGTGTGTTTGAAAATCTGAAAAATAATTATTAGAAATCTCTTTTTTTTTTTTTTTTTTTTTTTTTTTTTGGATTTTCTGTGTTTGGATGTGTCTGGAAAATCGAGTCAAAGAAAATCATTTATTGTTGACTTGGGAAAATATGGCTATTTTGAAGGAAAACAACTTCAGTCAAAATTTGGCAGAAGTAATTTTTCACTGACCAATCACAACAATCAAAACCTTTGTTTTCAGAATACAACCAACCACTAAAAATGATAGATTTTAGAAAATGACACATTTTTGAGAAAACATTTTGCAGAAGTCATTTTTCTGATTTTCAAACACACTCAAGTTAAACTCGGGGATATATCAACCCTTAAGGTTAAAGCAGATCACAGCCACCATTGCATGCATCTTAATAAGCTTTCAAAAGCTACAAAACAAGAATAAAACAGTAAAGTAGTGTAAAGGAATAACTGGAAATAGTAAGTCTTGTGTGTAGTGAGACGGTTTTAGGTTGAGATATGTAAAAGTTTTTAGTTAAAATAAGACGTACAATCTCACACCAGATTTATTCGACCTGAAAACATTCCAAAATTGAGAGACTAGCTAATAACATATATATATATATATATATATATATATATATATAGCTAGTTGTTGTGAAGTCCTTGTGCAGCAGCAGCCTGCAGAGCACAATCTGTAGTTCGAAACCCAATTCTCTCCTTCTCCAAGTCATACACCACCTCCACGTTTTGCTGCTGGAAGCTCCCCAATATCCCGGCGGGTCCGCCGTATTGATTGCCGCCGCCGCCGTCCATGCTTTGGAAGAGCAGACATTTGACCTGGGTGGAGTTGGTGGGCGCACTCATGGCGTAGAAGTGGTTCTCCTGGGGCAGAACCAGGGTGGCATTGTTCAAGAAATGGAACGTGATTGACGGGAGACTCTCGTCGCCGCCGGCCGCCGCCGCGGTGGCGTTGCTCCGGCAAGGGACGTGGTAGCAGAGGTCGAAACCAGTGCGCATCTCGGCTTCCTTGGCTCGTGGGAAATGGATTGTGGATTGAAGGGAAGAGAGGAGTTGAGAGTATAATGGCTCAGGCAAGTGGGTGTAAGTGGTGCCGGAATCAATCAGCATGCCGCCATTGCCGGAAGAATCAAAATTTCTCATGCTCAGAGGCACCTGAGTCACGGTTGCGGCGGCGTTGCTACCGCCACCGCCTCCTCCGCCGCCGCCAATAGTTATGGCCTCTAGGCCAATGTAATAATAGTTTGGGTAAACAGGAGAGTTCAACATTGGGGTAAACTGCAGATCATCTTTGGAAGAAATGGCAACATCTCCCACAACCAAAGGGCTTGAAACATTAGGGTTATTAGCAAATCGGAAAGCCAAGAAACAATGGGAGAACCCCTTTTGGAGAAACCCTAATTGTGAAGGGATTGAAAGTGGGCCCTTCCCAAACCCTGCTATCCCTATTGGCTCCCTATAAGTGGTCCCCACACACCCAAAACAAAACTTTGGGACATCCCTAGAGGAATTAGGGCTACTCCCATGAACCCTAAGCAAATCCCTAGTTAGGGTTCCACTCACAACACCATCACCATAAGTGTAAGCAAATGAAGGGCATGGCCTTAAGCAAGTGCCCTTAAGTAGGGCCCCCAATGGGCACCCGGCCGCTGTACACGTGTCATAACCGTTGTCGGAGCTATGGACATTGACGCAGAAGGGGCTGGCACAAGAATCTCTATAAGAAGAAGAAGAACGAGAGGGAGAAAAACTACCCAGAATTTTAGTATTCTTGTAGTCATCACAATCTAAACAATCAAAAGATATGTTCCCACATGGAACCCAAGTAAGGTCACTCCCAGTATCCATGTATACTTGAAAAATTTGTGGGGGTGTCCCTAAGTTTAAAGATATCAAATACCCATCTCTTACCTCTCTCAACGGTTCCATAACGTCTAAACTCTCATCAGAAGACTTCTTGACACGAGTAATGGCAGATTTTGGGGTCGGAAGATCCGAGGTTACACGAGTCAAACCTAGGATCATTGAATGAGGGTTTGGTTGTTGTGCATGAGATTGTTTTGAGAGAAACAATGCCGCCGCACATGTAAGGAGAAGGAGAAAATAATGATTTGAATTCATGGTGAATTTGGGTGGGAAGAATGATGGGCTTTGGTGCTGGTATTTATAGATTTGTCATATATGGGGTTTGGTTGTGGCTTGAGTTGCAGGATTAGGGTTTCTGAGATCATCACTTGATGATGATGTTATGAAATATGTTGCATGGCTGACAACGATCAACTTAATGTTGTCCCCTGTACCAGCTTGGCGTAAGCGAATATAGGCGGGATTTAAAGAGTTAAACTAATTAGTCACTCTCAGCTCACACAACATATAATAATAAGTTAATAACCAGCTTGGTTGGTGTGAGTGGTTGTGCACTCTTGTCCCTTAAGAAAGGTCGAAAGTTCGAACCCTCCTCGTATGAAAAAAAAACAATCTTGCTTGCACTTTGCCTCTTAATTGGGGGATTAGTCTGAGAATGGTACGGACACCTCGTGGCCTGACCTCAAAAAACAACCCAATTTAGTTATCAATTATTGATTTTTTTTTTTGATTTAACTGATTTTTTTTTGTGTTGAACTTTGATGATTTTACCTAATTGAGTCATCTATTAAGATAGTTTGGTAATTTTCATTCTATTAATATTATCCAATTTAATCATCGACTATAGTAGTTTTATCAAATTTAGTCATCAGATTGATCAACGATAGTACTTTTACTCAATTTAGTCATCGACTATAATAGTTTTTTTCGATTAGGCCTTAATTCTAACAGTCAACGACAGAAGACTTGACATAGAATTCAATTAGGTAAAATCATCGAAGCCCATAACCCAATTAATTACAAAACGTCATTAAGAATTAAATTAAGAAAAATCACTATAATCGATGACTAAATTGAGTATCAACTCTCAAATTTTACGATTTAAATTGTGACCTTAAGTTTGAAATCTAATGCTAAGAGTTTCTCCTTCTCCCATCCCTAATGTTTCATAAAGGAAATGAATTATGGAATGTACATCAATGAGTCAAGAACTAAGAGCTTACTATAAATATCCAACTTCAAACTGTACGTGTTATTGGCAGAAATCAAATTCTACCATTACACTTGATCCAACTTCAAATTGTCTTATTGACAGAAATCAAATTATACCCTTACACTTGCCATCATTAAGTTGCTAAGACTTATCTCACTTTGACTTTCATACAAAAGGATATATAGCGGAGTTGATAAATCTTGATTTTCATACTTATAAATCATGAGGTTGGTTCTTGTCAACACTCCCTGTGATTTGTAAACTATTACATAGACGTTGGGTAAGTTTATCTAATGCACACCCACAAAAATCCTTACTCCAATTTGTATTATTATCATTTTTAAAAATGAGTTTTTGAATTTATAAATAAACAGTATATATAAAAGATTATGGCCATGTTTGGTAAAATGGCTGTTAGCTGATAGCTGATTGTGTTAATTAGAGGGTATAAATAGTTGATAACATTAGCTGATTGTAGAAAAATGTTTGGTAAATTAGCTGATAGCTGTTTGGTATAATTTCTTTTCTCAAAAAGCTAATTGAAAAAGTTGTTTGGAGTAACTTTTTGAATTTTAGCATTTTGGAGTTGCAAAAAACTAATTAACCAAACATTTATATTGATATTTTAACTAAATCAAACAATTAATAGTGGTCAAATAAGCCAAAATTGACATATAGGCCAATTTTTTACCAAATAGGGCCTATAACTCATGTATTACAAGACACATCATATCTACTATACTAATAAGAGCCCAAGAGAGTTAGGCCTATAATGGGTAGAAAAAATGGCGGTCAAATTTTTTAATCAAATGAATGGCTCAGATTGATCAGATTTTAATTTTTCCTTAAAATTTACTAATTTATCCATAATGAATATGATTATCCGTTAACTTTTCCGTTACTTTATGTTAGTTCACCCTTAACTTACTCATTGATTTCAATAAGAAAGGTCTTAGGTTCGAACCTCATCCAAATCAAAGTTGGCATAATTAGTACTCCATTTTAGTCTTATTAAATTAAATAATAATTTAGTAGCTTCAACAAAAAATTATACATATGCATTTCTTTAATTTAGAATTGTGTCTACAATGTCGTTATTAAAAAAAAAAATAGTCATTATCAATAAATTAAATAAGAGAAATAATTTCATTAGTTATATTGTCTTTATTTTTCTCTAATATAAAAATTCTTTACATTCAAATTCATCAATTGATTATGTTCGCTACATTGTCCCTACAATGTCTTTACTAAAATTTTTTTTTATTCATTATCAATAAATTAATTAAGAGACATAATTTTACTAGTTCTATTGTCTTTATATTTCTCCAAGTAAAAATTCATTACATTCAAATTTCCAATTCATCAATTGATTATATTCACTACATTGTCTATTATTTTTTTGTGCACTATTTTTTAATTAAATATCAAAGTTATAATACAAAATAATGTTATATAGTTGTTTACCAAGTATTTTATTAATACCATGAAAAATTTTAAAAAATATAATTAATAAAGCCAATCATATTAACTATCTGAGGGATTTGTTGACAAAGAGAGTATTCAAATCACACAACAAATTGAAGTGAGAATTACCTAGCAATGTCCTTGTTTGACAATCAGCAGTTAGCGTTAGCAGATTATATTAGCGAATTTGACCAGCGAATTATATCAACGGTTGGTAAAAAGATATTTGAAAAAATTAGCTGTTGTTTAGATTAACATGTAAAATGACCTAAGGGTATACATAATAATAATAATAATAATAATAATAATAATAATAATAATAATAATAATAATAATAATAATAATAATAATAATAATAATAATAATAATAACAATAACAATAACAATAACAATAACAATAACAATAATTTAAAAAAAAAAAAACAAAAAAAAAATGTAATTAAGCACATCATATTAACTACTTGAGGGATTTATTGACAAAAAGAGTTTTCAAATCACACAACAAATTGAAGTAGGAAACTACCTTGCAATGACGCAATGTCCTTGTTTGGCAAAATCAGCAATTAACTTTTCAATATTAGTATATATTTAATATTTTATGCCCTAATTTTAGTTTACTTTCCCTTATGTCCCGTATTTGGTTTCAACCATATCTATACAATTATTTTATTGACAATTATAATCAATCTTGACTATATTATCTTGCATTTGTAAACTTAAAATTGCCTATTTAAATACGTAAATTTAACATTCAATTATCTATGCACGAAGAATTCCAATATAATATTGCATTGATATACTTTAAAGTACGTATTTAAAAAAAACATTGGGCATTATCCCAATCGCGCAATGCGCGTAAAAAACTAGTCATATAATATAATATTTCAGTTGATGATGAAATCGTAGCTAAGTAATTAAATAGTATTTTGGTATTAAATTCATATACTCCGTATGTATCAGTGTACAGTAAAATTTGACCTGAACTCTAATGTTAAATAATTCTTTTCGACATTCTGGAAAACACTGAATGGAATCTGATTGTACACATATTTTTACCTTAAATAATACAAATGTCTGCGGCATCAAATTAAAGATTAATTAAAGAGATGGACAAGCTTTTAAAGCACATACACTTTTCTTTTCTCAATACATGATTACACCAATCCAATTGCAATGCTTTAAATAGATTAATTCAGCAGTTCAATTACTCTTTTAAAAAAAATGTAATTAATGAAAAATGCTATAATACAGTATGTAAAAATGTTATATTCACAAAATATAAGTGGTGATTGTTCACTTTTAATTTGAGTTATTTGATCTTCTAATATATTCAGAAAAAAAAAAAAAAAAAAAAAAAAAAAAAAAAAAAAAAAAAAAAACATACAAAACTGTACCTATTTGGGAGATTGGAGCGCTAAGTCTAGCAATGTAGCCATTAAAACATATTGCTAATTGTTAACCAAGTATATAACTTAATAGTAAGTGTTTGGTCCTGACAATTTGTATGAGCTTGACAGGGGAAGGTGATTGTTGGGTGGAATTTGCGTCTTACCTACTAATTATAACTTTTGCCGTAGTGGTAAACACTTATTCTAACATTAATCAAATGTTAGTCCTTGACAAGCAAAAACTCTAGAAAGAGGGGAGGGGTCGAATAGACGTTTTAACAACTTACAAACCTTTTCGAATCAGCTCTAAGTGAGCTTGAATATAAATCAAAGCTAGGAAACTGAGTTTCCTTGCAGTGAAAGTCTTTAAGCTTGCCTAATGAAATATGTCGCTAAGTTTGACGATTTGAAGTGTTATTAATGTGTGTTAAGTATGGGGTTAGTTGCACAGTAGAGTAATGAAAATGAATGTAAAGTGCAAGAGAGATTTTTAAAGTGGTACGCAAAAACTTTTCAACTCCACTTTCTCCTTAATTAACTCCAAAGAGATTTTCACTAAGTATTAATTTGTACACAATACAAAGTGGCACGAAGCCTCAGCTTTTATTGGTTGACAATCCTTGAGATAGGGGTCAATCACCAAGTAGCCCTATCCTTCACTATCTGATCGATCATAGCTAGCCAAGGGTCACACACGTACCAAGTCGCCTTGCTAGGTTGATATCCTCACTTCCTTTTACTAAAAGATATGGTTGTAGATGAGTGCTGGACTTTGATAAATCAAACTAATTTATTTATTTATTTTTTGCTTAAAATCCTAGATTTAGCCTGATTAATTAGCTTGAACACTCGAACACGTTGATCACAAGAGAATTTCAATCACCAAAAATCCACATTTTTATAAGTTTGGAGTCCTCCTTTTGTAGACAAGTCAGGATGGGTGAGTGCCAACTTGAAATTTCAATCTACCCGTTGTCACTCATCAAGTGGTAGTCGTCTAAAACCCGCCACAATCCCCCAAAATCCACTATCATATCTCTAAACTTGTGCAGGTTAATGTGTATATGGTAAAGACCATTTTCCTATTAGTGTATATAAGCACCTCAAAGTCAAAAAGAGTTGTTCATAGT